TTCATCATTCTCAGAGTCTCGTTTATCTGGTTTTGCTGAGCGGTGATACATTGAGTCACTTTGGTCATCTGTTCCTTGAAGTTATTCAGCTGGTCCATTAGGGGGCGCATGGATTCTTCCAAAGTCTTTGCCAGCTCGTTGGTTCCTTTCGGTTTTGGGCTCTCAATTCCTTTCACTTTCAAAAGTTTCTCCTTTTCCAGCCTCTTCCCTGCCATGTTTCTCAGATTGTTTACTTTCGCAATTTTTTTGAAAGTATCTGAATATGTGCTTAAACGCTCAAACACTCCTTGGTAAGTACTTCTTAACAGTTTTAACTGCTTATTCTTCTGCTCCCCCCCTCATTCGCTCAAATGTTCATGTGCTCGGGAGGTGTCCCTCCCCCGGTCGCCTAATTCTCTATTGCGTAGTTAGGGTGGGGAGTTTTCTTTTCTCTTTAATCAACGCTTAAACGACTCACGTTCATAAGCGGTCCTCAGACCTCGTTTACTTTCGGTTTTAAACGCTCGATCTCCTGCGCTTGCCCCGGTTAGCGTTGCTTAAGTCCATTCGGTCTCTCAGCACGGAGAACCGTCGGAACGGAGAGGCGCCTCAATTCTCCGGCATTCCGCCATCGAAGAGGTGACCTTTCAAAAATTCCATGGCCAGAGTCCCTTCAACCGGGTCTCTGGGGGGGGGGGGTTGACGAACCTGCACACCACGTCCTTCGGCTGGAGCGCAGCTTCACCCCCGGGAGGTCCGGGAGGTGAGTCTGCTCTAGCGCGCCGCCATCACCGGAAGCAGTGTTTTGAGTTCTGTTCTTTAAAAAAATTTGTAAACTTTAATGGGAGTCAGATTTGCACTGCAGATGTGCACTGCAGACAACTATTCTTAAGGCTGTTTTACAAATCTGAAGTATCTCACCCAAAGCAAGAATACCATGGGTTGAATTCAGGGACTCCTTTTGTTTTCAAAGTGCATTTTTGAACATTTTGGTTGGTACTGTTAAGAACTGACTGCTAACAGTACAGTCACTGAACAGCACCTTCAGCGAAAAAGAATATTGCTCTCTGTAAATGAAAATAACACAATCTTTGAAAAGGCCTTCATTTGTGCACATTTTGTCCAATGTGTGTAAAGTTGTATCACTTAGTGGAATGCTGAAAAGCTCTCAACATAGTTGGTATGACCTGTGTTAATTAAGCCAAGAAATTCTGTTACTCATTTGTATAAATAGGTATTTACAAGCTGACCTGGAGGCTTTTGAAGTTCGTGAGCTCAAGTCCAAGTTTGATGTAATTCTTTTGGAACCACCACTAGAAGAGTACTACAGAGAAACTGGCATCACAGCTAATGAGAAGTGCTGGACTTGGGATGAGGTGAGTTGCCTGTGGGAAAAGATGGCATTAAGGCTGACCTAGTGTTTGTGTTCAGTCTCTGTTAGCTTCCCATGTTCTTTTGTGCAATCCTGTTTGACAGCTTCAGGTTCCCTTTGAGCCACCCCATCCTGTAGTTGCAAGAAATTACTGTACTTTACAGGGCTTATGTCCTGTCAGAATCTCCTTGCATTCTCTGGCTGAGGTCACTTCCTGTCTTAACACTATTGTCTTTAAAAAAATTGTGATATTGCCATTCTCTATTACTTACCCAGCCTTTTTTCCCTAACTTCCTACAATTCTGAAGCTACTGGAACATGAGTGAGATTGCTTAATGCTATCACAAAGCCAAGTCCAAGAAGGAGAAGATCGGGGGAACAGCATGAGTGGTTATTCAGCATTCCTTAAAGTTGGAGGGGTGATAGTTAGTGGTGCGATGGGAGGAAGAATTGATCCTGAGGGATGCCGTGTTGACCATCTGATGTGGAGAGAGCATTTCTGTTGGCTAGAGTCAAATAACATACCTTCCCAGGTGTCCGGGGGCATTGCTGAATTTACTAGAAATCCAGGACATGGCACAGGCCATGCTAGAATCCCCAACTGCAGTCACCAAACACTGGAGTTCCTCCCAGCCCTGGGAGGAGGGCCGGGAGAACAGACAAATCAGGGTGGACAGGAAATGTAGGTGGGCACAGCTCTAGGACTGCTGCAAGCCCATCTAAAGGTGTTAAGAAGGGTGCCTGTGGGGACACTGGGCCTGGCATCAAGCCAATTTAGCTGGTGGGGGAGAATTCCCAGGTGGAAGGGCCCAAAACAGGCGGGCAGGGCTGGCCATAATAAAGGCTGCACCTGTCTAGCAGCCATGCCTTCCATTTGCTTTCTGTGGGTGGGGTTATTCTCCCAGGAAGCAGGGGCAGGTGAGGGAGTGTGCTTCACCAATAGGGCCTGCTTCATAAAGGCCAGGAACTCAGGATAAGGAGGATCTGCACCAGCTTTCCCTGTGCCTAGCTGCAAGGAAAAGCAGTGGGGAGAGAGGAGGAAGAGCACAGGTAACCTGGTAAGCCTTCCTTCTTAGAACCAGGGTGATGACTGGTGGGGTGGGGGATTTTCTTATCTCCATAGAGAAATGTAGGCCACATTGTTATTTGTTGAAGGAGAGCTGAAATTGGTCCCCCGTCTATGTTTTTGTTTTTAAATCTCAATCTGTGCGTTGACGCTATACTGTAGGTATATGTAGAAACCACCAATACAATAGGATATGTCAGTGAAAATTGTGAGGTATGTGGAGGATAGGTTCCTTACATAATCTAGAAATGGCTGATTTATCAGCAATACTTAAAAAATTTAGATAAGCTGATAAGACAATTTGTATGACAAACAAAGAGAGCTAGAATAAAGTTGACATTTTTGCAGGATAAAAAGGAAAAAGGAGGGTTAGCTTTAACTGATTGGTCCTTGTATTATAAAGCGGCATCCATGGTTTGGCTAAAAGAATGGATAACTTTAGAAGATATAAGATTGTTAAAAATAGAAGGCCACGACTTATTAATGGGATGGCAGGCTTACATATGGTATAATAAAAGTAATATACATAAATATTTTAAGCAGCACATCTTTAGAGACTCATTGATAAAAACATGGGAAGAGATAAAGAAGGTATACTACTTAAAAATACCTAAATGGGTATCCCCTCCTGAAGCCTTTGTAAGACCTACACTATTTAATAAACATCTGATGTGGAGGTATGAAGATTTACTAGATAACAAAAGCGAATTAAAAACAACAGAGCTGTTACAAAAACAAGCTATAAATTTAACATGGTGGGAAAGAATACAATTGGAGTCAAGATATACGAAAGGTAAGAAAAATGGTTTCTACGGAAAACCTATAGACTTAGATAAAATATGGTTGCATAACGAGGAAAAACTTATTAAGAAATTATATAGAGGACAGTGACTTTGTAACAATAGAACAAATTTTGAGTCTAGTGGCACCTTTAAGACCAAGAAAGTTTTATTCAAGGTAGAAGCTTTTGTGTGCAAGCACACTTCTTCAGATATCTGTATCTGAAAGCTTATACCTAGAATAAAACTTTGTTAGTCTTAAAGGAGCCACTGGACTCAAATGTTGTTCTGCTGCTTCAGACCAACATGGCTACCTACCTAAATTTGTAACAATATTCGTCTAATATTTGTAGAAGAGTTGAAAACAAGACACATTTTGGAAAGAAATTATGTTGGTTAGATCATGAGGGTACTGGTACCAGGATGAACATGACAGTCTGTTATCCTGTTTTATATTTAAACAAAACATTTTTCTTAGAACATTACCATTTGTGGGTTGTTCATTTGTTTGTAGATCATGAAGCTAGACATCGAAGAAATTGCTTCCCTGAGATCCTTTGTCTTCCTCTGGTGTGGTTCTGGCGAAGGTCTGGATCTTGGCAGAATGGTAAGATAATAAAATAAAGGCAGCTATGTCAGAATATTCAGAATGGCTCTGTTTTCAGTCTTTTTTATTTTTAATGGAGGTTGTCTTTTTACTGTTGCTATAGCTAGTGGATGTAGGCAGAGATGAAATGAATCAAATTCTGAAAATACTATACGTTATAGACAACCAGTTCCTTAAGACTTCTCCCAAAACCAGAGAAGCATCTGCTGGCAATTTGCTTTTTCTTTTAAAGGTCACAAGCAGTGATAATGGCACTGTAAAGGTGCAGTAAGCCCTTAAGAATGTTTAGTGCAATTCTGATGCATCTGTGCTGTGATAGCACACATTAAAAGCTTTAGTGCATATTCTGCCCGTTTGGCATTATGTCATCTTTAGGAGATATCATAATGAGGATTTGTTTTATCAGCCTCTCTTGAGCTCTTAATTCAGCTAGAAAATTTTGCATTTGTTTGATCTTCCTCTACAGAATTCACAACTGAGAGCTTTTAGGTATGGCAGGACTCATTGTTCCTGTGCTTTGATATATTTTAGAAAGCTCTTACCTTATTTTGTTGCTATTGCGTTGAAATATTTCAGTGCTTGCGCAAATGGGGTTATAGAAGATGTGAAGATATCTGTTGGATTAAAACCAATAAAAACAACCCTGGGAAGACCAAGACTCTAGACCCAAAGGCTGTCTTTCAACGAACAAAGGTACATCTTGGATTGAGTTTCTTTCTTCACTATCTCAGTTGATCTAAACAAACACCAGATGCTTTGTAGCTATTGGTAGCTGTTTCAGAAAAAAACAGTTGCAGGGTAATTGACTTCTATTTGCTTTCTTCAAAGATTTGTTTATATGATAATGGTTTTAGAAAATGGGTAACTAATTTTTACCATTTGTAGATTTCTTTGCTCCAAGTAAATATTTAAATCTCTTTTCCTTGCAACTAACAGCTTCATGAAGCTCTTTTGGGGAACATATGAATGCTCTTATTCACTCATTCTTATTGAAATGCAGATCAGATAGGTTAAAGCTTCATGGAAATACTTTACCCTTCTGTCACCCTTCAGGGAGAGGATGGAGAAGGAGTAGAATGCCTTGTATAGTTTTCTTTGTGCCAACCTGTTGCTATAGTTGGGGGTGCAATGTGATTGACTTCCATTTTGTCAACTACATTGACCCCCTACATTGAAATGTAAATAACACATTTTGCTATCAAGACTGCTTCAAAGATTCTCTCCTGCTTTCTCCAAGGGCATTTTGGGATTGGGATCACCTTCCATGCAGACATAGATGCACTTCCCGTTGAGCTTCTGCAGTTGCTTAGAAACAGTTCTGCTTCTAACTAGGGTAATCATTTTGGAGAAGAGCAGGTTTTGAGAGAGATAACTGGGAATTCATGGCCAGTTAGGGTGAAAAGAGAATATACTATAGTTGTACTATGGTTGTATAAGGATTGTTGTCCTTGGAAAATGCCATTAGTGTTGCTTGCAGCAATGATTTCAGAGGGACTTAGTTACACTTGCTGCATCAAAAGTCTGATGTTTGGGGAAGAGGAAGTTTGCGGGGGGGAGGGGGTTTAAGTACGCTCTTCCCTCCTCTCTGCTTCATAAGAATATAAGAGACGCCATGTTGGATCAGGCCAGTGACCCATCCAGTCCAACATGCTGTTGCTCAACAAATATTTAACATTGGGAGTTCTTTTTAATATTTGTACAACACTACTGACATACATAGAGCTGGATCCAATCCCGATTCCCCAATCATTTGAACAGTAGTTGAGCAAGGGAGGGGGGCCTGTCATTGCCATAGATGTCCCCTTTCCAGTTGCAGCTCGCTGTGCTCCTTTATGATGGCGGCCTGATCCTCAGTGCAGGGGGGGGGGGCAGGATGCATGATGAGGTTGTAGCAATAAGCAGCCAGTGGACATGATCCACTTGTGGTTCTCTGAACTTCACACATATAAAACTAAAAGAAGGGTCTGCACTCCAATGAGTTTTCAAATATTTAAAGAGGATGCAACAAGATACTTTGGGAGAAGAGAACAAGGAAGATAAATGATTGAACAGTGTTAGCATATAAAGGATCATCCTTAGTATACATTCTTTAATCTTGGTCTGTACATTATTGGCAGATGGGTAAGATTTATTTAGATTTTGACAAAAGTTTTAGAAACTTACGTTGACCCATAGGTAGTTTACTTGTATGTCACTTTTGCCTGGTGCCCTGATTGGTGACTGACTTAGTAATCGGTGCTCAGTTCTTTGAAATATAGACCGAGAAACTCTAGTACTGATTAGCCCAAGGCCTGATCTTTTTAAACCTCAATACCATTTACCAGAGACAGCTACATCGAAGAGAGGGGCTGGAGCAATAAACTTTTCTGCTGGTGAAAAAGGTGGGGTGTTTCTCCTTTGACCCCCCCCCCAAAAGACAGTTCTGGAACCTACATAGGATGGGGGCTCTAGCAAGGAGGGTAATTGGACAAGATGGAACGAAAAAGCTGGCTGGATCCAACCCAATATCCAGCGGTCACTTTTCTTCTGTGGGTTTTTCATTTATGAAACTCCTACGAGAAATCTGGAAATGATTATTCATTCTTGTTTGCTGTTTTGTGGAAACCATCTGGTGACTTCAGTAAATCAGCATTTTATGATCCAGGGAAAATTGCCCATTTGGGTGTCGTACTTTCAAAATCAGATTAATCCCTATGCAACCACAAGTAATCTCACATCAATTATATAGAGTTCCTTTGTGCATGGCACTTAACCACGAGCAGTCATCTCTAATTTTGAAAAAGAAAAAGCAGTCTGAGTGTCAGTTCACCTTATGGGTTATCTGCTAAATAAGTTAGCAGAGATTCCATAGCATCTACAATGGGGCTGGATTTGCAGGGGAAAAAATCTGTATAAAACTGGCTTTTTGGAAATTGCTGATTGAGCATTTGACAAAGAAGTTACATGGCCACTGTTACAGAACAGAGAGAGACTGAGTGGGTGGCAGAGGAACGTGGACAGTGATAGGAGGAAGTTAGCAGGCAATCCCAGAATAGGTGGTGCTAAGATGGGTGTGAATAGCATTAAACCGGAGAGTATGTTTTTTCAGGATTTAGAAAAAGGTGGGTTAGCTGTACTTGCGACTTGGGAAAGCTACTTCACATCTAGTCTGGCAGATAGTGAATGAATTGGAAACAATTAGAGGAAACAAGATGGAAATCAGGATTTTAGTATAAAAACAATGGTATTTATGCTGGAAAACATCTGATCTATGTTCATGCCTGTAAATATATAGGTTAAAAAAATATGTGTTTCTGGACTGCAAAATGTTTAGCACTGGATGCCAATCTAGGTGGATTTATGGTAGTATTTTTCCTCGTATTTTTTATTTTTTATAATTTGGGAAAACTAAATTTTAGCAGACTCTTCCTGTGTAACTTCTATTTAAAAGAAACTCTACATTAGAAACACTTTCTGGAAACTTATGTTCCGCCTTGAGTGGAATTTTCATGGTTCTCCTGTTGTAGTCTTTTTTTTTTTTTTAAAGTTCTGTGTGGCTGTTGGAAAGTCTGTAGAACTTTTATTGTAAATGGTTGCTGCCTAGATGATGACTTGAATCTCCAAAAGAAGCAATTCACTACTTTCTGTGGCACATTTTTATGTGTCACCAGGATCATTAAAAAGTACTCCACTGTTTGAAGACTAGACTTTCTCATTACTTTTCATGTCTTATATTCTCATTAGAATGGTCAAATGACATTTCCTTTTAGGAGGCAAGGGAGAAATCCAAGGCTTTTTCAGAGATGTGATTTTGGAGAATCACATTTCATCTCTCCCCCTCCCCCTCTACAAGTTTGTTTTCTTTCCAACTCAGTTCATCTTGTGGGAGCAGGCAACGCTTTAAATCCTTAAAAAAATCTCTCTGCACTAGCAGGAAAGGAATATACCATTCAGTATCATTTTACCCCCTAGAGGACATGAGTTGGGGGGAGGGATTCTGTACTAGAACTGCAGGTTGAGCATAGACCATTTGTTGTATTAAAGATGTGGGGAAACTCAGGCTGAGAGAGCGTGGCTTGCAACAAACCTGTTGTGCAGTCCAGTGTTGTTTCCACACAGTAGACCATAACCACATGATAATCCCTATATTTCCATTGAGGGCTGAAGATTGTAGTGGCTTTTAACTCAGAGGCTTTTTGAAATATCATGGACTCAGTCTTCATTGCAAGATACATTGCAGATACAGCTTTCCACTCCACAGTAGACACAGGTTATCAAGATGCTGACAGCATTAGAGCTGACAGGTAGTACTTGTGAAATGTATAACATCTGAAATACAGATGACTAAAACTAATTCATTTCACTAATGGGATCAATGTTTGCCCTTAGAGATAGTTGTGTCGAAAGAGCCCATGCAAAACACCATCTCAGAGTGCAGCAAGGTAAATCTAGTTATCTCTCCACCTCTGTTGCCTTTTAGACTTCCCTGATCTAAAGGCCAAGCATTCATTTGAATACAGAAGCCTCACACCCCATTTACTTGCATGGAGTCATGTTTCACTTTACCCCTTGAGATAATGCAAAATGGAGGTCCAAAATAAAAAGAAACCAGACCTGTGTGTTACTGTGCTCCCCCCCCCTTCTCTTGATGTGTGTAATCTGCCTCTGTGATGGGGCTTGGCATTTTTTAGCCTTAGAAGTTTGCCTCATTTTTTTTCGCCATGTACATTCTTTTTTCAGGAACATTGCCTTATGGGCATTAAAGGAACAGTCCGCCGCAGTACTGATGGAGACTTTATCCATGCTAATGTCGACATTGATTTAATTATCACAGAAGAACCTGAAATTGGCAACATAGAGAAACCTGTGGAAATATTTCACATTATTGAACATTTCTGTCTCGGAAGAAGACGCCTTCATCTCTTTGGACGGGACAGTACAATCCGACCAGGTTAGACTTCTGCAGCTTAATCATCATGTTTAAAGTCTTTGTACAAGACTTTAGGCAGTAATTAGCGTGGGCAAAGGGTTGGCAACATAAAGGGCATTATGTGCATCTGCATGCTGGAGTGGAGGGTGATTTAAATCAAGGCAATAAGAACTAAGGCGGTAATAAGAACTGAGGAGCAGAATGCAAAAGAAATTTGAAGCTCTGACAGGAGAAGGATAAAACATGAATGTAGTGCTGAATTGTGCTTGGAGAATTGAAGCATAAAAGCTGTATTTATTCTAATGCTGAAGAGGATGCAGATTCTTAATGAAGCTGTCCTCTGTATTTATTTGTTGATACCAGCCTTTCAAGGTGTGGTAGAGAACAATGAGAAGGGAGGTAATAGTGTTCTGCTACTGATTTTTGTATTGGGTGGATTTATGTATTAAATTCTTCTTCTATGGCATCATTGCAGACAATTGTCTAGATATACATAGAGGCAATTGTATAGATATACTAGATACACAGGCTTACCCTGTCCTTTGATCAGACATAAGGCTATATATCGTGGCTGAAAAGGGACACATCTTTCAGAGGTTCATGAAAGTAGAACAGATGAAAAAGATTGAGGCGGGGGGGGAGAGACAAAATAAAAATATTGGCCATGAATTTTTAATATGATTAAGAGGGAGAAATAATAGTAAGCCCCTGATGTTCCTACTGCAGGCGTGGTGACAAATTTGCCTGGTTCATTGGTCCTGTCCACAGAACTGGTGATCTGACATTGCAGGAACTCTAACCAACAGGAGTTCAAATTCTGTCATGTAGCACCTTACCAAATTTCTCATTTTTTTTTACACATAAAACATCTAATGTTTTTATCATGTTGCTTAAGTTGTTTTAAGTTTCCTTTGAACAACTGGAACACATCCTGGACGTGTTAATACCTTGGAGCGCCTTTACAACTACTTTGGGAAGCAAAATCATGGGACATATGCAGTTAGTTGTGCTGAATGGCTGGAACTCAATTCTGATTAGCTTGCATATCCTAGAAAGATTTTTAAATGGGTATCTTATAGGTCAATGGTTGATTGCAACTAAATTAAAAACAGTTTTCTTCCAGAATCCAACCATTGAGTTCTTGAAAGAAGTAGAAATGACAAAGTCTCTGAGAACTATTGTTTTCCAAAAGGCAAGATAATTTCATAGAGAGGGATACTACAGTGCTTATCTCAACCAGCTGCATAACCTCTGGCAATAAGGGACCTTGGAGCAGACTTCCTCTGATGACCTGAAAGCAAGTTGCGGGTCCTATGGGAGAAATGTTCTTCAGGTTCCCTTGTCAGCTTGTGCTGTGTAAAGGTTTAAGGGTCAAACCCAGTACTTGCATTGTGCACGTAGCTCAACTTGTTTGAGTGCCAAAGTTACGTGTTGCCTCTGGCTAGTTCTTGTTATCCTAGTGGCTAGTGTTGCACACCAGCTGAAGTTTCCAAATTGTTTTCAAAGGCAATCCCTGTGCAGAGTGCATTGCAGTATCTCAGAACAGAAGTTACCGAGGCATGTAAACCTGTTTGTATCTCTCACTTGCTTTCTGTCTCCTGCTCCCCCCCCCCCCATTAGGCTGGCTAACTGTGGGACCCACACTGACAAACAGCAACTTCAATGTAGAAACATATACATCCTACTTCACAGCTCCAAATTCTCACCTAACTGGCTGTACAGAAGAGATTGAGAGACTCCGACCTAAATCCCCACCCCCAAAAGACCGAGGAGGTGGTGCGCCAAGGGGTGGAGGAAGAGGTGGAACTTCAGCTGGCCGAGGAGAAAGGGGCAGAGAGAGAAATCGAACTAATTTCCGGGGAGAAAGAGGTGGATTCCGGGGAGGAAGGGGAGGTACACACCGTGGAGGCTTTCCTCCTCGTTGAAAGTAGTCAATTATCTTCATCTGGTCCTAATTCCATAGCTTCTCCTCAGGGTGGCTGTGGTTTAGTTTTGCTCAGGTTATACTTCTTGGTGACTCAGCCCAGATGTTTATTACTAAACAGGTTTCATGCGTGGTAAAAACCAGCACATTTTTTCCTTGAGAAGCAAAATCTAGCACCATGAAAAAGGCAAAGATTTATAACAGATTCAGTTCAGAAAGCTTGAGGTCAAAGATGAGTGGCTTGTTTTACAGTTTCATCTGGTCTGGTTCCTCTTTCATTTGTGTATACACAGATGCTGTCGCTCTCTCTATTATTACCATTGTTCCTAAACTTTGACCAATAGTTTCCACTTGCTTTCTGTAGGAGCCATTCCTTCCCGATCTAAACAAATATAATTTCAGTCCCCATTGCAATAGTATCTAATAGGCGTTAATAATGGGAAAATGGCATTCCAGTTGGCATTTAATTTACCACTCAGGTTTAATTTTGCATCCATTAAATATGTTAATTTTTTGTCTTTTAAGAAGTTGGTGACCTTGAAGCGGATTGTAATGACTGTCAGCCTTCATTTGTATCCCAATTACACTTTTTCTGTACAATAACATATGAGTCTCAATACTGGGCTTTAGTTGTATGTTCCCCTTCATATTCTTGTTCTTTTGGCGAGAACAAGGTAAATTGTAATTGTGGTGTAACTAGGAGCCCAGAAAGAAATTTGTTATAATCCATCTTGGGTTACTCTGTTCATTGAATGGAAAACTGAAAACTAGATTTCTTGATACTCCAAATACTAAGCATGCAATCCAGAATTAAACTATTTTAGTCCCACTGAGTTCAGGGGGGGGGGACTCAGGTGTGTGTGCTGCACTCCATTTCAGTGGGACTGAAATGTTTGTGTGGATTGTGCCCGAAGTGTGGAGATTGCCAAAGGATCATAAAGAATTTAATTTCAGAATGCTTCTGGCAAAGACAAATGAATTTATTGCTGCCAGTTGTCATATCCTGTGTATATTCTAGGGGGCTGTTCACTCACTTCCTCAATTTGCTTTTTTGCTTTTTTATTTCAATGTTGTTGATTGTATACGGTGATATCTTGTCAGATCTTGCCTGTGCTCTGACAACAGCGTTTTAAAGACTACTGTGCTTCTAAACCTCTTGTACTTCTGCTCCTGAAAACCAACTTTTAAATGTCTTTTAAATGGAAGCCATGGATCTTATTTTACTATTTTCAATGAATATTATTTTATGGGAGGGTGTATTTAAATTCAGAATGGTTAACTTCCACAACAGAGTCAGTACTGGCCACTTTCTGCCTTAAGGTGGTTAACATTCTAGCTCTGTGGTATGAACTTACCGTTACCTTTTCAGAGCTGTTGGGTTTGGCGGAGGGACTGGTTTTGCATTGTTTTCATGACACTGATGATACTGGTTGGTGAGAGAAAATGAGTTATTTTGCCTTTTCTGTATACTGTAAACCTTTCCGCTTTTGATACTATTTATGGTTAAGCTGGGATACTTGAAACCCTGATATTCTTAAAGGGTGGTATCTTAGTTGCATACCAATATAATGAGCAAATTTTGTTCTTAACCAATTCTTAATAAGAGCAAGTCCCACTTCCCCCTGAAGGTACTGAGTACTTTGTTTTAGGAATAGTTGCTTTGTCACAAAGCATTTCAAGTAATTTTCACTGGGAAGAGCTTCTGTCTTGTGGGAAGAGAGCATAGTAACACAGTGGGCAGCCTACCCCTTCTGAATAATTTTGTGTAACCTGTGGTCTCCACTTAAATTCCTGTTATGTCTGATCTCACTTAAAACCACCTCACTTCACAGTTAGGCGATGTGTTAAAAAATTAGAGTGTTTCAGTTTCACAGGTTTGATGGCCAATGGGATTCTAGCACAGCAGCAAATTGAATAATCCCATTCTGCTATTGGACCCTGCTATTGGAAGGGAACCCAATGCTATTGGATCCTACAGATTTTTCCAATGGTGCAAGATGGATGAGGGCTGATCTCATCTGAGTCCCCTCTTCACTGTGGCCACATCCCCTTGTGTCCTTTGAGCCCTAGCATAATGGGGGGGGGGTCCTTTGAGCCCAAGCATAATGGGAGGGGGAGCTGTCAAATGGGGCCTCTTCTTGCACCAGTGGAAAAGTTAGTAGGATCCAATACAATAGCAGAATGGGTTTTTTCAGTCTGTCATTAGATAACAGCATGCCAGAACTTGAATTCTGATAAATAGGCTTGGTTAGATGACTCTGAAAGGCACTAGGAATTGTTATTTTTGCAATATTCTAGAGCTAGTGATTTAGAAAGTAAAATGCCACAGCAGGCAGATAATATATTTCATTATCTGTGTGTCATATCAAATAGTAACATGCTTAACAACTATATCCTGGAAGTCTTCCAGGTGTATAAGTACATTTAAAAACAAGTTATAATGCATTTCCACGGTGGTTCTTGGGAGAGAACAAACAGGTTAGTGCAGTTCTGATAGAAGACTTTGCTAAGATTGCTGACATGTAATTTGAACACATAACACAACATTTACATACCAGAAATAATTTCTGCTCTCTCATTCATTTTACCAACCTGGCATCAAATTGTTTTCTGTGTTCTAAATGTTGTTTTGGGGTTTCTTTCACCTGTCAGAAAATTATGCCTGGATGAATTCTGATGAAATTAACAAAGCTGGGTTCACGGTGGATTAAACCGCAAAAGAACAACACTCACCGTGGTGAATAAAACCTTAATGTGTTCTGCCAAAAGTATACTTGTATCCAATGCAATCATTGGATAACATTAACAATTCTAATTTCCAGGTTTTCACCATATATTTGAGTATCTTGCAACTACATACCTTGTTTTCTAACTGAAATCCTCACAATAAAAATTGTAACACAGTATTTATGGGGTATTTTTACAGTCTGATTCTGGATTGTATTGCTGTGATACAATATTTCAACGTGTCTCAGCTGTATGACAATCAAAATCAATTAATAAAAAATCTAGCATCCCGATATTCTTAGGTGGGGTTTAGTAAGAACCTGTAGCAGGAGAAGGGTGTGTTCCATTCAGAAGGAAGCTATTAGTTTTGTCTGGGAAGTTCTGTGGAAAATATTGGTTGTAAAATCACAGCGATTCTTGAAAAAGAGGAAACTGAAATAGGAGGATATCTGTGGCAACCTGTCGGGTCGCTGGATTCTTTATGAATGGATTTTGATTGTTATACAGCTGTTAGAATTTATTCTCAAGATTGTGTAATTTTCAATAGAGAGTAACTACAGAATACTGGATTGTAAAGATACCCCATAAATACTGGGTTACAATTTATTATTGTGAGGGTGTCAGTTAGAAAATGTTATACAGTTGCGAATATATGGTGAAAACCTGGAAATTAGAATTGTTAATGCATTGGATACATGTATACTTTTGAATGAATTCTAAGGTACACATGAATTCTAATTCCTCACAGATAATATCCAAAAGAAAATATCTGCACTGTTTGTAGTTGGCACAAACAAGGTAACTTTACCAATGGAACAATGTGCGTACGAATATACCCCCCCCCTTAGCCTATTAACAATGGTTGCATTCAGACATTGTGAGGGTTGTTTGGATGGTGTGGACATACTCGGTTCTGCTGTTCTGGCCTCACCTTGCCCCTTCCCTGCTACCTAAATTGGTACATGTCTGTTGGGCCTGTAATGTTCAAAGCATCTCCTACACATGCAGGGTCAGACCATGCTGCTGGCGTAATTATTTTGGGACCCAGCAGTCTGGTGTACACCCAGATCCTGACTGGATACAGTGCTCAAAAATGGTCAGATAGAATCTCAAAAGAAATAATCTTTATTCTAACAAGATACAAGGCCACAAAGATGGAATCCAAGGAAGAGCAAACACATAAAGCAATGTTACAGTATAACAACAGAACACTGCCCTTGGTTGTTGCCTAACTGGGGAATTCAAGGGAAAATGAAGGATGAACGGAAAATCATATGTTGCCTTATAGGGAAGCAAAGAGTCTGTTGAGCAGAGACCTGGGACAGGAGGAAGAAAGGCTGATCCAAGGCGAAGGAAAAATCCAAACTGAAACCAACCAAGAAGGTTCCCCAGGCTTGTGGTTGAGTTACTGGGCATGAAGAGGATTCTATAGCCTCAAGTCAATCATGGCCCCATTTTTGATAGCAAACTGGATTACTTTATCAAGCCTCTGATAGTTCAGAGGGTCTTTGGGGGCATGCAAATATAGGGGTCCCTGTTGGGGGGAGGATCATTTGCAGCAATCCCTCTTGTGTGCACAGAGCACAACTGAGAACTTGCTGGTTTTGGAAGACTTCAAGTTTGCTCTTGCTCTCTTTACAACCTGTACCTTAACAATATTCTAGACACTGAAAAGATTCTTTGAAGTTTGAAATGTGCTGGTTCTTTGAAAAGGAGACTGGTTGGGAAATTAGATATGCTTATTAATAGTGTTTCATTAACAATTGTATATTCCTCAGATGGGTTTTACTTGGAGTGAATAGTTTCATTACTGATTTTAGTGACTGAGCTGTTCATCAAAGTCAGTTTATTTTCCTTTACAAATCTTATGCCCTGATGTATAACATATTAATAACAGTATGCAAAGTTTCAGTCACTTGAAAAGAAAAGGGGTGAATTCTAGAGGGGTTAATCCCTGGTAACTACTTGCCAGCATTGCATTTGGTGTTTTCATGTTTGTGTTTTGAAGGGGATGTTGGGAAACTGGTGATGTATAAAAGCTTCAGCCTGTATCCATGAAAACTATTTAATGAAGCTAAAGTTGCTTTAGGCTTGTCTATCTCCAGACAGCAGCTGTTTTCTCCTTCATACTATATATCAAACTGCTTTTAAGTCTCCCTTCATTTTAAGAATCAGATTGTGATTTGGTATTGGAATCTGCTGTTCAAAGCAAAAATAAAAATAAAAATCCTGGACTACAAACCGCTTGCAGTATCCATACAGCTCCTTGAAACCTCAGGAAGTAAGCTTATAATACTATATTAAGCTAAATTGAATCCTTTTTTGGGAGTGGGGAGTTTTGCTCATGAGGAAATAGATGCAAAGATCCTGATAATATACTTGTCCCACTCTTTGAACCACCTGGTAAGCAGCACTAGGTGGGCGAAGGAGTCTGGCTGCATGGAAATGTTAGGAGGGATCCAAACTTCTTAATGTGTGGTTGGTTGAAAACCATAGGAATAATTTTTATGTTGGTACTTTGCTTTATGTTGATGTTCAAAAGACCTGGGTTTTTTTGGGGGGAGGGGTCATAACTACAATTCATCGTGAGATGAAAAGTCTTAAGTACTGTCAGCTGAGCAGCAGTCTAGCTCACTGTACAAGGTGGACAGTGACAGTATCATGAAGGCACAATCCTAGAGTGACACTATTGACTTGGCAAGTTTACTCTAGCAGATAACTAGTTTCACTTAACAAACACTATAAACCTGTCATTTTGAACTAACAGCTTAACTCCTTTGTCAGAAAAGGAAGAAGCCGCTTCGAGCAAAGGTACCCTAGACTCAGGGGAAGTCGTCTTTGGTCAATTTCATCAGTTTGGTGAGGGACACCATCTAGTGGAATGGAAGTGAACATCTGAAAGTTTGTTTTCATTCCTTAGTAACTTCAGTTGACAGAGGATGGCCATGTCCTAAATGAGATGTAGGCCTCATAAGACACGACAGTTGCACCCTGGGTAATGGAGCCAGTGTGTTTAAAATCTAACACAAGAAAACTGGGGAAGCAAAATTTATTTACCCTGTGGACTCTACAGTAATTAACATCAGGTTTAGACTTCCCTCCTTTAACTACAGAATAGTAACTAAACTCAAAGCTACTGTCAGCATAAGGTCCTATTACTGTGTATTCTCTGGGTCTTTTCCACATTTGGGGGAGTATTAGACTCCATAGCATTAGATTACTTTTTGAAAGGGTTAATGTTCACTGAGAGTAGGTTTAACAGTGGCTATTAGCCACTTCAGATAAATGTGTTAACTCTGGTCAGAGGTAGCATATCTCTTAACTACCAGATCATGTCAATAGTTTGTGCCTAGCTGGGGCTCCCCCAAAGTAGTCTGCTGAAGAAACTGGTTAGTGGGATCCTGGACTCTGCATGGCCATTTACTCCCACAGGCTCCTTTCGTATTTGCAAGAGTAATAAAGGAGAAGCAGAAGAAATGGCTTCTGATACTAAAGATTTGTATTTGTATGAAAAAATAGTGTATATAATATAGTTTCTTACAAACTATTAGGTATTTCATCTGCTAAAAAGTATTTTGAATACTTTACTATGTTGAACAGTTCAATATATAAGCTCCAGCATTCCCTTTTGCAACAGGAGTTCACTCGTTGCCTCTGGAAGTTTATTTATATCCTGCTTTTTAATATCCTTTTATTTATATTCTGCCATGGTGGCTCATAGGCACGGGTCATTTCGTAGAAAAAGAGCTAGGGGAACTCATTAGCATAACTCAGTAGCATATGCCACACCCCCTGACATCACCGGAAGTGTGTCATAAGGCCACACACCCCGCCGCAAGGAAGCCCCACGAAGGCCCTCCCTGGCCCCAGGCAGGCAGGGGTGGGGAGAGGCAGGGAGGAAGCAACTTACCCTCCCTCTTCTCCTGTCTCCTGGCTGAATGAGGGCCGAAAGCAGGGGGCGGGGCTTCGTCATGTGCCCCGCCCCCGTACCTCACCCGGGGGAACTGTGTTCCCCCCCTTTCCCCCCCGAAATGACCTCTGCTCATAGGTTAAGATGCTGAGCTGCAGACGAGGTCTTTAGTTTGGCAGTTCGAGACCCGAGTGCCGTGTGACGGAGTGAGCGCCTTCTCTGGCCCCAGTTCCTGCCAACCTAGCAGTTTGAAAGCAAGAAATTGCAGGTAGATCAATAGGTACCACTTCTGTGGGAAGGTAACAGCATTCCGTGTGCCTCGGCATTTAGTCACGCCGACCACATGACCATGAAGAAGTCTTCGGACAGTGCTGGCTCTTCAGCTTGGAAATGGAGATGAGCACACACACGCACACTCCAGAGTCAGATTCGACTAGCTTTCGAGCAAGGGAAACCTTTACCTTTCTTCCCACTGGGGACCCAAAACAGCTTACATCATTTTTTCCTTCATTTTATGGTCACACCTACCTTGTGATGTAGTTTAGGTTGAAGGTGTGTGACTGGTCCAAGGTCACCCAGCATGGTTCCATTGCAAAGTTGGAATTCAAACCTGGATCCTAGTCTAGCATCCCTACTGTTACACTATGCTGGCAAGCCATCAGACTGCAGTGCTTCTATTGGCCTGCTGGTGGCATCAAGTAAATCCTGTTACTGAAAAGGAATGTATAGGATAGAACTGGAGAAGTAAACCCTTCATTGAGGTTCAGCAACTTGAGAGGAAGGCTAAGTGAATAAATCCCTTGCCATCTATCTCCATGGTAAAAATGGGAACTTTTGTTTTCACACAGTTTGGTTCACAAGCAGGGAATGATGGCTGTGGCTTGTCAGCATCTAGTGGACAGAGTTGCTGACCATACAGTTGTTCCTGAAGTGCCCTGGATAACAGAATCTTTCATGAAATGGTCTGTTCTTTCAAAACTAAGCTTCTGGCCATCGGTGTGTGGCAGTGAATTCCCTAAATTAGCATTTACTGTATGAAGTAGTACTTTGTTCTACTGTAATACTTGTGATCTCAGCGTAAGAGAAGTGGTGTATATAAATCTAAAGGGAATTGGGAATGGATGCTACTTGACAGGGAAGTAGTGACTACAGCGGAGTTCCCTTCCCAGGAAAAAAATGGGCCTGCCTTGTAGTCATGAGACAGTTTACACCAAACAAGTACTCAGAAACTGGGGGGGGG